TATGAGGAGGCCGGGCCCTCAGTATGTATGAGGAGGCCGGGGGTGTATGAGGAGGCCGGGCCCTTAGTATGTATGAGGAGGCCTGGCCCTCAGTATGTATGAGGAGGCCGGGGGTGTATGAGGAGGCCGGGCCCTTAGTATGTATGATGAGGCCGGGGGTCTATGAGGAGGTCGGGCCCTCAGGATGTATGATGAGGCCGGGGGTGTATGAGGAGGCCGGGCCCTTAGTATGTATGAGGAGGCCGGGCCCTCAGTATGTATGAGGAGGCCGGGGGTGTATGAGGAGGCCGGGCCCTTAGTATGTATGAGGAGGCCGGGGCCTCAGTATGTATGAGGAGGCCGGGGGTGTATGAGGAGGCCGGGCCCTTAGTATGTATGAGGAGGTCGGTGGTCTATGAGGAGGCCGGGCCCTCAGTATGTATGAGGAGGCCGGGGGTGTATGAGGAGGCCGGGCCCTTAGTATGTATGATGAGGCCGGGGGTCTATGAGGAGGTCGGGCCCTTAGCATGTATGATGAGGCCGGGGGTCTATGAGGAGGTCGGGCCCTCAGTATGTATGAGGAGGCCGGGGGTCTATGAGGAGGTCGGGCCCTCAGTATGTATGAGGAGGCCGGGGGTCTATGAGGAGGCCGGGCCCTGGCGACATTCTCAGCCTCTCTTTCTCTCCATCAGATGGAGGAGTTGAAGGAGAAGATTCAGCGGCGGGAGGAGGAACTGTCTCAGCTCCGGGCAGAAATGGTGAGCGAGGACAACGTTGTGTATACAGATATATGTGGAGGTCATTGTGGGCGGAGCAGCGGTCACATGACATATATACAGGATGCGTGTGTTGTCACCGCAGGGTGTCACCGACTCGGAGAAGCACGTCCAGAACCTCAGCGTGGAGAACCAAGGCCTGAAGAGGAGTCTGAGCGTCACTCAGGGCCTGCTGGAGAAAATGGCCGCCGTCAACTCCCAGCCCTCAGCCCACCTCATAAAGGTACTACATAGCTCCGCCCCCTCCCATGACAGTCACGTGACTACACCACACGGGCATTATGGGAAAGTCTGGCAGCCATGATGGTTCAGAGGTCATCCTCCGTGTCCATGAATCTGAATGAGGAGACCTTTTACTCCCTATTGGTCCAGCCATTTATAGCCCCGCCCCAAACTGACAGCCCAATGAGCAGCCAGAATTGGCCAGTTTAGGGTCCCCCTAGGGACATTCCTGAGAAGAGGAAGGGAGGAGCGCCCGTTGCCCCACGCCATCCGCCATATTACCTCCGCGCCGTGTCCCCATGGATGAACCACACGCAGAGTTTCCTGACAGTTTTCACTTCACTTCCTGTCCTGTAGACTCAACAGGAAGTGGGAGGATATAGTTCCAATGTCAGACGGATCCCCTCTTAGATGTCCCCAGAACAGGTGTCCCCCATCCTAAGATTTTCCCTCACTTCCTGTTCTGGAAATTCCACCGGCAAAGTCAGCTTCACCCCGCCCATTCCTATTTCCATGGAGTCTCCGCCCCCTGACATTAGCCACGCCCCCACATAATAATCATCGCGCAAATCTCTCCCGATTAGCCGCCTCCTCCAATGGCTGCCGACGCTGAATGTCATGTCCCCGTCACTGGGGTCCCTGAGATCAAACCAGCTAGACGTGTGCCATTCCTTCCGAAACACGGGAGCTCTGTGTGTGTCATATCAGTACATATACATGCGTGTGTCATATCAGTACATATACATGCGTGTGTCATATCAGTACATATACATGCGTGTGTCATATCAGTACATATACATGCATGTGTCATATCAGTACATATACATGTGTGTGTCATATCAGTACATATACATGCGTGTGTCATATCAGTACATATACATGCGTGTGTCATATCAGTACATATACATGCGTGTGTCATTAAAAAAACAGCGTGCCGTCCCCCAACAATTCCTAGGCGGCCCTTTAGGTCACCCCTAAAATCCCTACCAGGCCCCTAATCTGGTCACAGGCCTGGCAGGGCAGGAAGTGGGGGGGCCCCGCCCCCCCTTGCATCATATCAGGCCACATGCGCTCAGCGTTGGGAGGGGGACCCCTGGACGGCACCTTGTCTCCATGCCGATGAGGACAGGGGACTCCTCCCTGACCGGGTGTTTGTGGGGGTCTGCGGGCAGGGGGGCTCATCTTTCATAAAGGGGGCACCCAGATGTCACCCAAACAAAACAAACGACAAACGCACTCAACAACTTGTCACCAGTCATACACACGCGGTGCACACGGAATGGGCTTTGAACAGTAAACAGCAGAAAGGCGTCATGGCGCACTCACCGGCCGGCGTGTAAAACAACGCGTCTCACCGCTAAGGACAATGACAGAGGTTTGGATACACGGCTTCTGCAGAGGATGTGACAGCCGCACTGCCGCGCCAAGGCACCTCTTATAGTGCGGTTGTCGTTTGTTTTGCTTGACCGATTTGGTGCAGCGACGCATGGGGGTTCTCAGCTGCCAATGGGATGTGCGGGATCCCTTGTGTGTCTCTGTACCTTTAAGGAGGTGGGACTTCCTCCTGACAGGCCTGCACCCAATTTAATATCTTCTGCCCCCATGTGCTCCAAGATGGCGGCTCTCATAGGTCAGAGTTAGGACCGCACTATAAGAGGTGCCTTGGCGCGGCAGTGCGGCTGTCACATCCTCTGCAGAAGACGTGTATCCAAACCTCTGTCATTGTCCTTAGCGTGAGACGCGTTGTTTTACACGCCGGCCGGTGAGTGCGCCATGACGCCTTTCTGCTGTTTTACCCAGATGTCACCCCCTCCCCGGCTCCCGTAAATCTCCTCCAGAAAGAGCGGGGGGGGGTTTAGAACCTCTGTCATTGACCCCATTGGGGGGGGATTTACTTTCACTTCCTGTGTGCTCACCAGGACAGGAAGTAAGGGGGCGGGGTCTCCCCAATAGGGTTTTTTCCTGGTGAGTTTTTTCTTTGCTGTTTGTGTCCCGGGTTGAACAGATTTCCCCCCACTTCCTGTGTGGTCACCATGACAGGAAGCTGATGCCAATAATCATTCTCTCAGGAGAACGAGGACCTGCGCAGTAAGGTGACCCACCTGGAGACCACGCTGCAGGAGAAGGTGGAGCAGTTGGTGTACACCAAGGGCCACATGGACAGCCTGCAATGGCGGCGGGAGGAGGAGACGCGTCAGCTGGAGGAGAAGATTCACGGGCTGCAACTGTCACTGGAGAGTGAGAGACACAAAGCGCCGCATGTGCAGGTGAGGCCGGGGGACTGCAGTGCCACAGAGGTGGATTCTGGGTATCACCCCTCCCCCCATATAACAGGAACCCGTTACCTGTCCCTGCAGTACGTGACGCAGGAGGTGGAGTCACCAACGTTGCTACGCAGCTTAGCCCAATCAGAGGAGAGGAACCGAACCCTAATGGAGCAAGTGTCCGGCCGCGGAGAGCGATGCCACCAGCTGGAGGAGCAGCTGCAGAGGTCCGAGGAGCTCAGCACCGGCCTGCAGGCCAAGGTAAGGCGGAGCTCCACCCACAACCGGGCCGGAGGGGCTCCATGTGTAGAATGGGGATTCCCCTTACCCTGGAGGTCCAACACTGCTACCTGGTAGAGGTCTCCCTGAACCCATGACAACGTGTTACTGAAAAGGGGCAGGGCTACAGGGGCAGGGCTTCAAAACAAGGGGCAGGGCTTCAGTGGAAGGGGCAGGGCTTCAGTGGCAGGGCATCAGTGGAAGGGGCAGGGCTTCAGTGGCAGGGCATCAGTGGAAGGGGCAGGGCTTCAGTGGCAGGGCATCAGTGGAAGCATCAGGGGAAGGGCCACAACATAAGGGGCAGGGCTTCAGTGGAAGGGGCAGGGCTTCAGTGGCAGGGCATCAGTGGAAGGGGCAGGGCTTCAGTGGAAGGGCTTCAAAGGAAGGAGCAGGGTTTTAGTGGAAGGGGCGGGGCTTCAAAGGAAGGAGCAGGGCTTCAAAGGAAAGGGTTGGGCTTCAGTGGAAGAGGCAGGGCTTCAGTGGAAGGGGCAGGGCTTCAGTGGAAGGGGCGGGGCTTCAAAGGAAGGAGCAGGGTTTGAAAACAAGGGGCAGGGCTTCAGTGGAAGGGGCAGGGCTTCAAAACAAGGGGCAGGGCATCAGTGGAAGGGGAGGGCTTCAGTGGAAGGGGCAGGTCTTCAAAGGAAGGGCAGGGTTTCAGTGGAAGAGGCAGAGCTTCAGTGGAAGGGGCAGGGCTTCAGTGGAAGGGGCAGGGCTTCAGTGGAAGGAGCAGGGCTTCAGTGGAAGGGGCAGGGCTTCAGTGGAAGGGGCAGGGCTTCGCCGGAAGGGGGAGGGGCTCCGTGGAAGGGGGTGG